AGAGAAAAAAAAGCAGAAACCAAGCACACGTCAGCTGAGTCTGGAACATTTGCAATCCAACTTTCACAGCCACAATCCCATCCCTGCCCCTCCGCCACACCTCTGCAAAGAAGAGAAGGGAGATGCATTTTCTCATCTCTCCCTCAGGCTAAGCTTGCACATTATAATTATTCAATTTGAGCTTTGGTTGTTTTCCTGGTTCTTTCTATTTACATTTTGTTGTCACTGCAGTATATTGTTTTCCTGGTTCTTCTCACTCTACTTTGCATCAATTCATGTAAGTCTTCCCTTGCCTCTCTAGTACATATTTTTTCACCTGAAAAAAAGACATCATCTTAGGGAATAAAAGGTTTACTTTGACTCTTCCATTGTTCTGATGTATAGGGAGACAAAATTGTTGTGAATGAATAACAGGGAGTGTCAGGAGAAGGGAGAACCTAGGCAAGGAAGGAATCACTAACTGTCTTCTTTCATCCTTGATTTATGAGCAAAGCACAAACAAGATCCATTCATTACTTCATTATAAGGAATAAATTAGAACAGAATAAAATCTATATCCCCAGGGCCTCATTTAGGGGATATTTTTGGGAATCCCCATGATGTAATTGGTCTAGGGTGCTAGACCTGGTGAGAATGTGTCCCATCAATACTCTTTACTATCTTAGAGAATTACTTGGGGACATCGAGCAGCTAAGTGACTTGCCCAGGGTTACATAGGTAGAAGATGTTAGAGACAAGTATTGAACCCCAGGTCTTCCAGACTTTGAGGCTCAATGCTTATATATACACACATGCACACACACACACACACACACACACACACACACGTGTGTGTTTGTGTGTACTTGTATGTATATATGTACATACATGCGTGGATACATGTGTGTACACATGCACACACACATATAAACACACACATATATATGTATACAAAGTGTCAATATTAATCTCAGGAGCTTAGAAGTGAATCCATCCTTGCCATTTCCCTCCTCAAAATCATCTACTTTACCATGCTTAGAATTTTCCAGATTCTATTTTCCAAGTCTCATGAACCATCATTTACTAGGCAGTGTAAGCAAATAATGGGAAATCCTTACTTGTTCATGAAAGGCTCATTTAGACCATGCATCAAAGAAGTCCTATGAATTAAGAGTCCAGAGGTGAACCCAGAGACATAACTAGAAATTCCTATCATGCTCCTTATGAGTTCTGTGGAGCTGCTCTCCACTTTCTGTGCAAATTAATTGAAGGAATTCTCCTTCCTCCTCCTGCCAAGACCATTTGCCCCCATTTGCCAAAATTCTAGTTAGATAATGTGAGGAGGTGAAAGGAGATCAGGGTGAAAATAAGAATACCAAATCTCTGCCTCTCATGGGGCTTGAGGATGGGCAGGATTTCAACAAAGGATCAAGGTGAAGGCCAAGAAGACTTTGGATACCTGTGATGATCCTCACAATACTCAGTACTAACTGTTTATAAAGTGCTTATTATGCGCTAAGCACTAGAAATGCAAAGAAAGGTAAAAATCAGTCCCTCTTCTCAAGGAGCTCATGTTCTAATGGAGGAGACAACATATACAGAGCAGATGGAAGGTAATTTTAGAAGGAAGGCAGTACAGGTAAAGGCATCTAGGTGGCACAGTGGATAGAGTGCTGGGCCTGGAGTCAGGAAGACACATCTTCTTGAGTTCAAATCTGGCCTCAGACACTTACTGGCTGTGTGACCCTGGGCAGTTTCCTCAGTTTCCTCATCTGTAAAATGAGTTGGAAAAGGAAATGGAAAACCACTCTAGTATCTTTACTATGAAAACCCCAAATGGAATTACAAAGAGTTGGACATGACTGAAAAATAGAGTAAGAGAAGAGGAATGAAGTGTAAGAAGATTGGAAAGGTTGAAAGGAGTCAGGTTGTAAAGTTCTTTAAATGCCAAACAGATTTTATATATAATCCTGGAGGTAATAGGGAGCCACTGAAATTTATTGAGTAAGGGTGGAGGAAGGAAAGGACATGATCAGGCCTGCATTTTAGGAAAATCACTTTGGTAGCTGAGAGGAAGATGTTTTGGAGAAGGGAGATATTTGAAGCAGAGAGACAATTAGGAGGCTATGTTAATAGCCATATTGGTGGCAGAATGAGTGGAAAAGAGGGGGCTTATATAAGAAATGATGTGAAGATAGAAATAGAAAGACTTGGCAATGGCTTATATATGTGAAGTGATTGAAAAAAAAGGATGACACTGTTAAAATTTTTTTTTATCTGGGTGACTAGGAAGATGGTGGTGCCCTCAACAGTAATGGGAAAAGGGAGAGTAGAACCAAAATGGCGGAGTAGGAGGAAGCAAGGCAGCTGAACTGTGGCTTCCAAATAGATCTATGAAATGCACTAGAGTGCATCCTGAGGGAGAAATCCAGAAGAGGTCATGGCAGTTCCTTGTCCCACCCAGATGGGCGTAGGAGATAAAGAGTTGTGCAAACACTGGGAAGAGATTTGGGGCATGAGCTCCTTGGCATCAGGAGCACTCTAATGTCCAGGGAGAGGCTCTGCATACCATTACAAAAAGGAGTTCCCAGATCCAAGTGCACTGAGACAGGGATTGGTGCTTAACTGGCAGCTTAGTCACCCACTCCTCAGTTCTAGGTTTCGGATTCAGAACGAAGTAAGAATAACATAGTACTACACAGAGCAGTGCTGCTGCCTTCCTCAGGTAGTGAGGCCTGGGCCTATGGAGAGAGGAAGAAATTCAGAAGCCAGAACAGCAGCAGTAGCAACAGCCAATATCTCAGACCCCAAGCTCAGAGCAAGATATCACTTCCAGCATCTGAAACAGGAAACCAAAACCACAGGGGAGCCTACAATTCCACCACTTTGAACCAGCAGAGTTTTTCATATGGCTTATAGGGCTGAGTCCAGAAGAACTCTATGCTTACACAGACCCAAACCCAGGTCAGGAATGTACAGAGCTCAGACAAGAGGGAAGCAATCAGGTTGTCACTTGGATCAGACTCCTTTGGGAGAACTGAAAGATTTTAAGTCCTCTGATTGTCCAAGAGATCATAGGCTAACACAACACTCAATACCCTAAGAAAGCAGCAACAGGACCTTCCCCCAGAAATGCATAGAGCCCAACTTGAACATCAGGTCCAAAGTCAGAAAGTAGGCTGGAAGAATGGGCAAACAAACCAAAAAAAAGCTTTTTTTAAAAAAAGTAGCTCGTAAGTGAGCTATTAAGGTGGTAGGAACTCTCTCAAGACACAAACTCAGAAGAGAATGACTCTTAAAACATCTACAGGCTTTGCCTCAGAGAAAAATATAGCTTGGGCACAAACTCAACTAGAATTCCTAAAAGAGATAAAGCAAGAATTAAAAATATTTTTTTACAAATGAAATGAGGGGAAAACGGAAAAGGAATGGATCTATGGAAGGAATAATTAGAAAGAGAACTAGCAGTCTGGCAAAAGTTACAAAACTTTGCCCAAGCAACAAACTCACAGAAAATTAGAATGGACCAAAGAGGCTCCAATGACTTCATGAGGCAACAGGAAATATTAAAACAAAGTAAAAAGTCTGAAAAACTGGAAGAAAATGTGAAGTATCTTATAGCAAAAACAATTGACCTGGAAAACAGATCAAGGACAAAAAATTTAAGAATCATTGGACTATCTGAATATCACAATCAAAATAAGAGTAAACATCCAATTTTAGGAAATCTGAAAAGAAATTTGCCTTGATCTCTTAGAAACAGAGGTCAAAATGGAAATAGAAAGGATCCACCAGTCACCCCAAACAACTCTAAAATGAAAACTCCTCTGAACATCAAAGCCAAAATCCAGTTCCGGGTCAAAAGCAGCCAGAAAGAAAGAATTGAAGTACTGAGGAACCAGTCAGGATCACACACAATCACACCAGTATAAAGTAGTAAAGACCTTGGAATACAATATTCCAGAAGCAAAGGATATAGGCTTACATCTAAGAATAACTTACCCATCAAAATTGAGTGTACAACTGGGGAGGGGCGGGAGCAAACTAGAGAGGAAAAGGAGGAAATGGACCTTTAGTGAAATAGAGATTTCCAAGGATTCTTGACAAAAAGACCAGAGCTGTAAGGAAACTTTGATACAGGAGTAAAACTCTAATACAGGAGTGAAAAGAAATATAAAAAAGTAAACATGAATGAACAACGATAAAAGACTAAACAAAGATGAATTACTTACATTCAAATATGGGGAAGATGACACATGTCCCCTTTGAGCCCCATCATCATCAGGGTTCATAAGAGTCCAATCAGATAAGACCAATTAGACAAACCCATAGGAGGAGTTCATTATGTCTTGATTATCTTAAGAAAAGAATGGAAAGAGAGGGGAAGAGTAAACACTACCCAGTAAAACACTGGTGAGGCAGGAAGGAAAAGGAAGATTAGGGAAAATTATCTCATATTTGAGATATGGATGCACAAGTAGACATCTATGCAAACAAGGAAGGCACTGGCAGAAAGTGGCTAACAATTAAACCTCACTCTCTTCTGAACCGGGCAAAAGAAGGAAGAATATACACAGAAACACATGCAGAGTTAGGTTTTTAAAAAATCCATTTCACTCAATAGAAAGATAAGATGGAAAGGGTAGAAGGGAGGAAGGAGAATTAGAAGGAGGATAGATTAAGAGGGGAATAACTCTTAGGCAAAGCAAACTGAAGATTTACAGAAATATTTATAGCTCTTTTGGAAGTGGCAAAGGATGAGAATCTGAGGGAGTAGGCATAAATTAGGGAATGGCTGAACAAGTTGTGGTACATAAATATGATGAAATACTATTGTGTTGAACTTTAATCAGCGTAATGGCCAACCAGCCTTCCAGAGGACTAATGAGGAAACATCCGACCCATTTCTTGATAGAGACGTGAGGGACTTAGAATGCTAAAAGAGACGATTTTTGTTGAAATTAGTTTTGATTGATTGTATATGTTTGTAATGGGTTTTGATTTTCTTGTGTTCTCAATAGTTGGGGTTGGTGGGGAGGAGTAAGAAGGTAGATTTTAGCTGATTAAAACAAAATATTGTTTTTAAATGAGAATAGTGAAATTTGTCTTAGGTTAAGGTTTAGAGGAAAGATAATGAGTTCTTTCTTGGACATGTTGACTTTAAAATGCAGAGAAGACATCCAGTTCAAGATGTCCAAAAGGCAGTAGGTGATGTTAGATAAACTCAAGAGAGAGGTTAGAGCTGGATAGATTGGAGAATCATCTGTATGGGGATGATAATTGATCTCATAATAGCTGATAAGATTACCAAGCCAGATAATATAAAGGAGAAAAGAAGAGGTCCTAAGATAGACCTTTGGGGGCCACCCATGGTTAGTGAAGAACTAGCAAAAGCGAATAAAGAGTGGTTAGACATATAGTAAACAACAATGTCACAGAAATCTAGGAAGGAGAGAGTTTTCAGAAGGAGAAGGTGATCAACAGTGTCAAAATTTACAGAGGAGTCAAGAAGGAGAAAGATTGAGAAAAGGCTATTAGATTTGGCAATTCAAAGATCATTGATGATCTTGGAGAGAGCAGTTTCACTTGAATGATGAGACTGGAAGCCAGACTGCTCAGGATTTAGAATCCAGTGAGAGGAGAGGAAGTGGATTTGTTGATTGTAGATGGCTTTCTCAAATTTGGCAATGCGGAAGAGAGAGGATGATAGCTGAGAGTTTTTTTTTTTTTAAGGATGGAGGGGGAGACATTGTCATTGTAGGCAGCAGGAAATAAGTTAGTAGATAGGGAGAGACTGAAGATTAGAAAGAATAGAGGGATGGAGAAAGCCAGAAAGGGAAAGAGCCACTTCTTCCTAAGAAGCAGAAATGAAGAAGGAGAAAGTGGGAGAAGTGTGATGTGAGATGAGGAAGGGGGAAGAAGGGGAACTTTTAACAAACAGCTTCAATTTTTCTTTAGTGAAGAATGTGATGAGGTCCTCTGATAAGAGGTGTGGTGGGTGGACTGCCATGAGAAGCTTAAGGACAGACTAAAAGGTTTGGAATAGCAGCTGTGATGAGTGTCAGGGACGACAGGTTATGGGAATGTAGAAGGATGGATGGCTACAGTGAAGGCCCAGTTGGATTATGTAATATACATTTGTAAATGTGAGAAATGACAAGCAGGATGATTTCAGAAAAACCTGGAAAGACTTACATGAGCTGATGTATAGTGAAGTGAACAGAACCAGGAGACTATTGTACAGAATAAGAGCAATATTGTATGATGAAGAACTGTTAATTTCTTAGCTATTCTCAGTGATACAATGTTCCAAGACAATCTAAAAAGACTAATGACGAAATGTACTATCCACCTCCAGAAAAAGAATGACATTTGAAAACAGACTGAAGCATGCTATTTTTCACTTTCTTTCATTCTTTTCTTTTTATTCGAGTCGTATTGTACAAAATGACTAATATGGAAGTGTTTTAAATGATTGCATATGTATAACCCGTATCTGACTGCTTACCATCTCAGGGAGGAAGGAGGGGAGGAGAGAAGGAGGAAGGGGTAGAATTTGGAACTCAAAACTTTTTTAAAAATCATTTTAGGAGCAGCTAGGTGGGATAGTGGATAGAGCACTTGCCCTGGAGTCAGGAAGACCTGAGTTCAAATCTGGCCTCAGACACATAAAACTTACTAGCTGTGTGACTGTGGGCAAGTCACTTAACCCCAATTGCCTCACCAAAAAAAAAAATGTTTAACATGTAATTGGTGAAGGGGGTAAGATATATTAAATCAGAAAAAAATAAAACTGTAAATTTGACCCAGTTAGCACTTTCTGAAGCTCTGTTCAACAGCAAATGAATAGGAGTGAAGCCAGAAAATAGCATAAAGTAGAGAATGGTGCAGTGGATAGTGTACTGGGCTTGGAATCAGGGAGACTCATCTTCTTGGGCTTAAATCCAACCTTAGACATGAGCAGTGTGATCCTGGGCAAGTCACTTAACTGTATTTGTCTCAGTTTTCTCATCTATAAAATGAGTTGGGGAAGGAAATGGCAAACCCCTCCAGTATCTTTGCCAAGAAAACCCCAAATGGAGTCACAGAGAGTCTGACAAGACTGAAATGATTCCATAAGATGCTATTACTATACCTATTTTCCAGATAAGGAGAGTGAGTCTAAGAGAGATTAAGTGATTTGGTCAGGGTAGTACAGCTAGTAAATTTCTGAAGCAGGACTGGAATGTCAGTCTTCCTCATTCCAAGTCCAATACTATCCACTTCACCATACTGTCTTTCAGGGGAGGCCTTCTTTAGACAGGCCACTTTAGACATCCTCAGATCTGATCTTAGCTTACTACTGCCTAGCTGAGACACTATTACTACCCAGCCAATAAATAATAGGCTGATAATAAATAATAATCTGATCATTATGATGGGTGGGGAAGTGGCCACAAGCCATTTCCCCCCATTTTGCTCTTGTTCTTGGACACTGAGCAAATTGGAGGCAAGGAAAGTGTATTCCTTCCAACTGAAATGAAATACCAAAAATACCATCACACAGCCAACCTAAACTCATGGATTCACATTGCTTCATTTGGAATCCATTGTTATTGAATGGGCTATCTGGTGCCTTATTCAATCACAAATCAAAACTGAGACTGTATTGGTCAGAAAAATTAGCTACTAGCCTTGCATTGTGCACCATGACCTATTGAGAACAGTAATGATAGCTAGCACTTATAGCCTAAGAGGCAGTCACTATGCTAAGTGCCTTACAAATATTACATTTGATCCTCATAATGACCCTGGAAAGTAAATACTATTATTATCCTCATTTTACAGTTGAAGAAACTTACACAAATAAAAGTTAAATGACTTGCTCAGGATTATACAGCTAGTAAATAGCTGAAGTGGAGTTCAAACTCAGGTCTATCCTAACTCCAGGCTCAGTATTCTACCCATTGTATTACTTAGCTACCTCAAAGTCAGAAGAAAATTCCTTCTACAAAGGGGAAATTAGGACCATAAGTCTCGTCTACCTGTAAAGAGATTTTTCATCCAACCAAAGCTTTCTTGTCAGTAAGTGCCTCTACCTATTCCAGAAAAATCAGTCAAGGAAAGTCATCCCTATCAGGAATAGGAAGCAAAATGAATTTCTTGGTAGTCATTGTGCTCCCAAGCACCATTGAATGATCCATCACTTATGCTTCTCTTCTCCTTTAGCCAGATGATTCTAGAGGATGAAAAGGATGACCAGGATCAGGGTGACCTAAAAAGAGTGGACCAGGACAAAGACAAGGACAAAGACAAAGAAAAAGATAAAGAAAAAGAAAGAGTGGAGCAAGGAAGTGAAAAGAAGAAGGAAAAGAAGCAAATTAACACAAGCCAGCATGAAGAAAAGAGAGATACAGAGAAAGAAAACTGTGTTCTTGAACGAAATACTACACAGGCCGTGGTCAGGCAGTATTCAATTGAGAATGAAATAATTTTCGCATCTAGGGTTAGCATTCTAGTCTCATGTATAGGTAATGACTCTTCTTTCTATTTATAGGGAAAGGAACTAGAATCATTAAAGCTGGATGGCCTTCTGGAGACCGAGACAAATCTTGCCGTGAGTACCTTGGGGTACCGGTATGCACTTTGGGTTGTCCACCTTTTGGCACTCATACTGATGGTATAGGACCTGCTCATCTCTTCTTCCAGTCTTATGTGTCTCAAAAATGTCTTTTCTTTTTCTTTTCATACATGTTATATAGTTGGTAATATCCTTTTTTTGTAAGTTATACTCTACCTGCCAAATCTCTTCTTCCAATCATATTTTTTCAATTAATTAATTAATTGATTGATTTTTAGTTTTCAACATTCACTTCCACAAGATTTTGAGTTCCAAATTTTCTGCCTATCTCTCCCCTCCCCACACCCCATGATGGTGTGCATTCTGATTACCCTTCCTCCAATCCGCCTTTTCTTCTATCATCCCTCCCCCTTCTCTTATCCCCTTCTCCTTCTATTGCCCTGTACACCATTGCCTGTGTATCTTATTTCATAGTTGCATGTAAAAAAAAATTTAACATTCGTTTTTAAAACTTGGAGTTCCAAATTCTCTCCCTTCCAACCTCCCCACTCACCCTCATTGAGAAGAAAAGCAATTCGATGTAGGTTATACATATATATTTATGCCAAACACTGCCATGATAGTCATGTTGTGAAAGACTATTTCCTTCCATCCTATCCCACCCCTTTTATTCTATTCTCTCATTTGACCCTGTCCCTCTTCAAAAGTGTTTACTTCTGATTACCCCCTCCCTTCTATCACTCCTCCCTCTCTTATCCCATCTCCCCCTACTTTCCTGTAGTGTAAGACAGATTTCCATACCCAATTGAGTGAGTATGTTATTCCCTCCTTAAGCCAAATCCAATGAGAATAAAGTTCACTCATTTCCTCTCACCTCCCCCCTCTTCTCCTCCATTATAAAAGCTTTTTATTGCCTCTTTGATGTGAGATAATTTATTCCATTCTACCTCTCCCTTTCTCCTTCTCCCAGTACATTCCTCTCTCAGTAGTCTTAATTTTAGTTTTTAGACATCATCCCTTCATATTCAACTCATACACACACACACACACACACACACACACACACACACATACATTCCCTCCAACTACCCTAATAATGAGAAAAGTCTTATGAGTTACAAATATCATCCTTCCATGTAGGAATGTAAACAGTTCAACTTTAATAAGACCCTTATGAGTTTACCTTTTCATGCTTCTCTTGAGTCTTGTATTTGAAAGTCAAATTTTCTATTTAGCTCTAGCTTCTCAAGAATGCATTAAATTCCTTTATCATATTGAATGACAATTTTTTCCCTCTCATAGCCTGTACTGAGTTTTGTTGGGTAGGTGATTCTTGGTTTTATTCCCAGCTCCTTTGTCCTCAGGAATATCATATTCCAAGCCCTCTGATTCCTTAAGGTAGAAGCTGCTAAATCTTGTGTTATCTTGATTGCATTTCCACAATACTTGAATTGTTAATCTCTGGCTGCTTGCAATATTTTCTCCTTGACCTGGGAACTCTGAAATTTGGCTGTAATATTCCTGGGAGTTATCCTTTTGGGATCTCTTTCAGGAGGTGATTCTTCTAGTCATATTTATCTTCAATTATGTCTTTCCTGCCAATTTTTATATATATTATAATTGGTAACATACCCTACTTTAATCTTCCACCATTAATCTTTCCATTTATTTCAAGATTGTTTAGATATTATGATATGTTCCATGATCACCTATTGTATCACATTACAAGGTGATTGATTAGGTGATTAGGTTCTTGAAGAGGACCAGGAGATCATTGAAAAGACCTATGCAAATGTAATCTAGCCCAATATCAGCCTCGTTAGCCCAACTCTAAAATGGATGGACTAATCCAATAGTCTACTCATTCAGTTGTATGTCATAGTTTAGGCAATACATGTTTTTTGTCCACTTTTCACCTTGTAGTGCAATGAAGGAAGGTCTTGGCTACTTAACTAGCTGTATCCCCTTGGAGCCATTTAACATTTCTGGGTTTGTTTCCTCCTCTATAAAATGAGAGATTTGGACTAGATGACCTCTGAGATCCCTTCCAGTTCTAAATCCTATTATCTGATGACCCTGAGTCATTCTCATTTTAATAGGAGAAGCAAAATGAGGAGCATTGTCTGAGAATAAGTTCAGGGCACAATAAGCTATTTCATCATGAAGAACTGGAACAAACCCTTCCACCTAGACAGGACCTTAGTGCTAAGTTCTTTGCTTACATGTGATGTCACAATCCCTACTGAAATCAGAAAACTAGAGGGATCTGTGTATGTTCCTGCATGAGGTGTGATATGGACTTTGGTTTAGACCACTGAGTCATTTATAAAGTATCTAACATTACCTTGTGAGGATTTGCAAGGCAGTTTTGAAACAGGGCAACCCTCTGTTCTTTATTCTTAAGTGATGTAGTAGGAGATAGAGATAGAGAGGGGGAAGTATTTTATCACAACCTCTAGAAAGGCCAACCTTATGAAAAGGCAAATGGTATGATATAAGAACTTCTAGGAAGAACCTAGGAATGACCCAAAATGTTTTCCCCCTAACCTGCAATGGTGATCCAGACTCTACCATCATAAAGTCATTTCTTTGAGCCTATAAATGGCACTCATTAGAGTAACTCATTAGAGATTATCAGTCATTAGCTCTTCACTTCCCAAATCTTTTCCCTCTGGGAGGGAACATGGCCCTACAGGAATAGCCATAGGGTCAATAGGTTTGGATAGGGGAGGGGGAAGAGTTGTTGTCCAATCATTTCAGTTGTATCCAACTCTTCATGACCCCATTTGAGGTTTTGTTGGCAAAGATATGAGACAAATGAAAAACCTGAGAGACAGAGTTTTGGGTAATTAACAATAAACTTATTAATTAGGCTACCTGGCAATCAATAAACTGATGGACAGTGATTTCTCTTCATAACCAAAGATCCCCAGTGGAGATCCCAAGGGCCTTAAATACCTTTTTGAAAGGGAATGCCCCTCACAAGTGACAAATCAATCCTGATTGGTGGACATTTAATGAGGAGGTGGGCTAGAAGTCCTTAGCTCCTCCTGCTGAGAATGTGGCTTGACCATGACACTGTGCAGCCTCCAACAATCTGGACAAGGGAATCTCTCTTTATCCAGACCTCTGTGGGTTGGTTTTCTCCTTCATGAGCTGGGTCACCTTAAAGTCTACTGGAGGGATAGAAGGACATGGGCTCGTTTCCCCAGGGTAAGGACTCCCTCAATCTGAATTCTGTTTGTACTCTAAACAGAAATTAAGTCTCCCATTTGGATGGGGAACTGCCCAAGATTGATGAGCATGTTTCCTTGAAGGCTAGGGGCAATCTCCTCAATCAGTCATGTCCTTCAGAGACTGACTTTAACAAGAGCTGGGCCTTAATGAGGAAATAGAAGGAGAAAAGCCTGGATTATGAATTAATAACTAGGTATTAATAAAAATTGTATAATAGTAATTTATCTCAGATACTGGAGTGGTTTGCCATTTCATTTTCTAGCTCATTTTACAGATGAGGAAACTGATGCAAACAGGGTAAAGTGACTTGCCCCAGGTTGCACAAATAGTACATGTCTGAGACTGGTCTTCCTAACTCCAGGCCTAGCATTCTATCCCCTGCACCAAGGTCTAAAAGATGAGAGACTTTGAGAAGAAGAAAGATGAGGGGGGAGAGCAGGGATAAGAAGAGTATCTCAGAGAAGAGGCATTGATCTCAGTTTTGAGGTTCAGTCTCATAAGTTAGGGTGTTACAGCCTGGACTTCATCCAGGGAGTCAGTCCCCTGAAGTTCCTCCCACTAGGGGAAGTATTGGCAAGAGGAATGGGATGATGCTGCTCCTCTGATGAAATTTCCCTCCTTTCATCTCTGCTTCCCACAATCCTGGCCATTCACTCTTAAATATTCATGTCTCTCGGATTTCTTTTCACAGAAGCCACCTGTTGCCTTTGTAGAGATTGATTTGGAAGAACACACTGAGGAGGTAAAACACACACACACACACACACACACACACACACACACACACACACCCCTAGGAAGTTGAAGTTACTGTGCTTTGAAAGTTATACCCATTATATTTTTCTTGCTTAGCTAAGCATCATAGATTGTTAGAATGAGAAAGAACCCTGGGAGGTCATTACCACATGGGAGAAATCTCTACAATAGCATGGTGTACTGAACAGAGCATTTGGACTTGGAGACAGAAAGACCTGAGTTCAAATCTTGCCCTTAGCTTCTTACTAGCTGTGTGACCCTGGGCAAGCCATTCAACTGCTTTGTGCCTCAGTTTTCTCATCTATAAATTGAGAGGAGATTGAGCTACTTGGCCTTTGAGGTCCCTTTCAGCCTTAGTCTATGACCTCTGAAAGATGCTGACCCAACACTGCCTGAAAATGTCCAGTGGCAAGGAACATATTACACGGTAAAGTAGCCCATTTCATTGCTGGACATCCTAATCATTAGACTTCTTCCTCACAATGAGCCAATATTTGCTTCTCTGTAGTTAGAGATGTTGTGAAATGCCAGGCACTGTCCAAAATGGTGGGGATACAATCAGAATCAAGCAAGACAGCCCTTGCCCTCAAGGTCCCAGTTTGGATAGAAAAAAATATTTGGCAGCTGTGATCCCAACTCCTTTGCACTCTCACACATTTTAGAGGATATGACTCTGGAGTCAGAGGACCTGAGTTCAAATCCTGCCTCTTAAGGTTATTACCCATGCCACCTCGGACAAAACACAACATACCTGCACCTCGGCTTTCTTATTATTTTTAAATAAGAGCAGATGGATGATAAGACCTCTGAGGTTCCTTCCAGCTAGTCTAGATCTATGGATTCTACAATGGCCTTGGAAAGAACCAGATTAACTTCTGCCATCCCTTCCTCAAACCTTCTTGCTGGCCCATAGTCTCACACTTATCGATCACATGCTTTATACATTGGTCACAAACATTCCAGCATATGATCTACTGAACCACAAATGTCCATCTACCTTCAGCCCTGAAGCCAGGGCCTGGTTTTATGATCGTCATGAAGGAGTGAAAGGTACATTATACCAGGAACTAAGGAGTACTGGGTTCTAGTCTCAGCTAAGCCATTAGATATTTATTGAAATTGCTTAACCTCTGTGAGCCTCATTTTTCCCATCTGTAAGTGATGTCTGAACAAGAATGATTTCTAATGCCTCTTTCAGCTCTTATACCACATGATTCTTCATTTAAGAAGTTATGAGAACAAGAATGGTGTAGTCACAGTCATAGAGTTGAGCAGGACCTGCAGGGTTTTTTTCTAATTTCATTGTAAAATGAGAGGGACCTCATATTTCACAGAGGAAAGAGCAGACTAGAGAAAGTAAGTGACTTTCCTATGTATTACACAGTAAATAAGAAAATCAGGACATGAATTCAGCTGCTCTGACTCTAAAACTGTATTAGTCTTTTCCTTAGTACCCCTGCTTACATCTTACTCTACATAAAATGTTTTCCATTCTTAGAACAGCAGAAGTTAATTAAATGTTACTTGATTGGATGCTTGGGGGTCATGAAATGGAGACTATAGATCACAGACCATCCATTACTTAAGCTCGTAGGATCATTAAGATACTCCTTTATGATTTTTTAATTAATGAATTTTTACAAGCACTCTTCATCTCTACCTCCCACTGTTCTATATTGAACTGTATGAAAAACAAAAATGAAGCAAAAACCAGTCCTCATAATAAATGTGTAAACCAGCAAAACAGATTTCTATGTCAGCCATGTTTACAAAGATATAGCTTATTCAAGATGTAAGCCCATACCCTCTCTGGCAAGTGGGTGGCATGATTCATCTTCAGTCCTCTGGACTCATCATGCTACCCTTTATTTTTGATATTAGGAAATTGAGGCTCAGAGTTAAGTCCTGTGCCTCTTAAGGTCACAGTCTTCATTGGACTGACCATGAAGCTTCCAATGTGGTATTTGACATGAAGGAGTACTACTAATGCCTAGGGAGTGGGGAATGGGAGCTGGAGTATTCACATAGCTTCATTATGATAGAGGTAGATAGAGGGCTGTTCCTGGGGTTAGGAAGACCTGGGTTCAAATCCTAACTTTTGATACTCTGTGACCCAATAGAAGATACTTGATTTCATTGATCCTCAGTTTCCTCATCTGAAAAATGAGGAGGTTAGATTAGATGGCCTCTGTCCTTTAAAGTAACTTCCAGTTCTAAGCTCCTGATCCTGTGATTCCATGAACTTGCTGGTGCATGGGAAGGAAGCAAAAGATGCCTTCTTTTCTAACTCTAATTTTCTATGAAAATTGATGAAGAAAGGCAGTGTGGTATAATGGATAGATTTCTGGGCTTGAAATCAGAAAGACTTAGGTTCAAATCCTGACAGGATAGCTGGTGAGCATTAACAAGGCAGTTTACCTATGAGCTTTAAGCAACTCTCTAAGATGGACTGTGACCTACATTAGTATAGGGAGGTTCCCACATGGACAAGATATTCCTCCACACTTCACACTGCAAAGTCAGCAAATTTTAGTGACAAGATGAATTAAGCTAGTTAGATTTGAGAGAATCTCATGATTAAAAAAAACAACTACCGCTATTATAGAGGAGATCCATGATATTATGCAAATTAACTGGGTTGGGGGTAGGAGTGGAAAAGATGCTCTCTCAGTGTGGAAATATCCGTTCCTTGGTATATGGGAAGGGAGCAAGGAGGCCACATTCAATGTGCACAGAGCATATGTCATGGAGGCCCTCATGGCCCTTATTAAAATAATAATAATCAAATCTAATTAGAATGAACACTTCTTACAAAGAGAGCTCAGAATACTTTCTTAGCTATTTCATATATTTTGTCTGAATATGCTATGAAGTAAAGAAAGGAAGCATTATCCCATCCCAAGACTTAAAGGAAATAAAAGACTAACTGAAGTTCATATAGCCAATCAATCAACCAATAAACATGTATTAAGCACTTACAGTGTGCCAGGTCTTGCACCAGGTACTGTACAAATACAAAGAATGAAATCATTTCTATTCACAAAGAGCAGTTAGTGGCAAATGTCCCTTGACCGGGCAGCCCCACTGCCTAACTGAGGGGGAAAAATGACCCAAGCTGTGAGTCCCATGTCCAGGCTACAAATTTATGGGGAAGGGGTCCCCAGACTTTAACAAATTGACTCTAAATTAGTCTTTTTTGTCCCTGGCCAATTGTAATAAAGTGCTACTTTGAAAAAGAAAGAGTAGTCTATTCTGCAGGAATTGGTGGTGCTGGTGGCAATGTGGTCACACCCATAGCCCCTCCACCCCAACTCATTCTCTTCCCATCCACCATCCCTGGGCTCACAGGGCTTGAGCCCTACTGATCTTTGTTGAATGTCACTAATTTCCTATCCCACTCTCATTTCTCTTCGTGTTTATGAAATTTATCTTTTTATCATTATTTATGATCAGAAAATTGAAAGTACTTTGACAGAAGAGAAATCATCTAAGGCTGAAGCAGGAGATACATCTGAAGATGAGTAAGTGATGCTCTCCTATATTTTTTTGCTTCTGGCAGAATGTTACTGAGAGAAGCTTTGTGTCATCCTTGTGGGGCTTCAGAGAGGGTGGGTACTTTATACTCTACAATTAAAGTGTGGATTGAGAGTATGGAGAAGAACTTTCATAGTGACTATAATACTAGAAGGCCTAGGGCTGGGGAACAAGGAAACATTGCCAGCCTCTTATTATTATTCTTTCCCTAAGACACAGAAGGTTGATGCCTTCTTTACTGTTGCTAAGGGTCAGTGAATAGAGCACTAGGCCTGGAGTCAGGAAGACCTGAGTTCAAATCCAGCCTTAGACACTTACGAGCTGTGTGAGCCTGGACAAGTTACATAACCTCTCTTTGCCTCAGTTTCTTAATCTGTAAAGTAGAGATGATAACAGCACCGACTTTCCTGGTTTGTTGTGTGGAACAAATGAGATAATAATTGTAAAGCTCTTAATACAGTGCCTGGCACATAGTAAGCACTATAGGTATATAGATATGTGTGTATGTATATGTATATATGTGTATATATATGTATACATATATATTAATTATGATTATTATTATTTCTGGTTTCCCTACTCTATGATCTCTTTGGAAGAGGTGGTGGTGACAGGGAGAAGATGGCCGAATGTCCCTTATTCTCTATCCCCTTTCCTTGTACCTCCTTGATAATAACATGTGAATGAATGAATGAATGATTGAAAAAATAGTTGACTAAGAACTTAGCATGTGCCAAATACTGGGCTAAGTTGCAAAAAATAAAAGAGAAAATTGATATAGTCTCAAGGATATCATACTATAATAGGAGACAAAATATATCACAGTTCAGCTGGAAATCCCAAGGATGCTTTAGTAAGACAGATGGCAAGGTTCAGGGGTTCTTAGGGTACAAGTCAGATGGCTGTACCTGGCCATCTGGAGCATGTAGCACTCAGGACAAACAGGAAGGATCGTAGTTGATGACTCCAGAACAGAGGGCCTGGAGGGTTCCTGCATTATGGAATAGATTGTTGGGAAGGGGCCTGAGGGCCCTAGTGGAATGATAATTCTGGGATCCCTGCCACAGGAGTTTGGGATGGATTGAGGTGTAGAGGAAGTGTCAGAATGCATGGGGGTTGGAGAGGTATTAGTAACCAACCAGGAATAGGAGAGGTGACATTGGCAAGAAGGCTTGGGAGAGAAAGGAACTCTGAGGTATTTATGTACTTCAACATAGGTGTGGGTTTTGGGTGGTTTGGGTGAGGAAGGGAGAAAAGGTCTTCATTTTCACTCATAACTACCTTCTATCCTCTTCCTTTCCCCCAAGTTGCTTTGGCCTGGCTCAAGAAAGGACTGTAGTTGGCCTAGGAATGAGGAAGGGAGAAGGAATAGCAACCTCTTAAGGCAGCTAAATGGTGTACTAGACGAAACACTGGATCTGGAGTCAAGAAAAGCCAGAATTCAAATCTGGCCTCAGACTCTTAACTAGCCATGTGACCCTGGGTACATCGTCTGATTTCTGTCTGCCTCAGTTTCCTTATCTGTGAAATAGGAATGACAATGGCACCCACCTCCCAGGGTTGCTATAAGCATAAAATGAGATTTTTATAAAGTGATTTATAAACCTTAAAATGCTATATAAATGCTAGGTCTCATTATCATCATCATCATTATTACCAATGTCAAGGAATTTGTATATAAGTACTATGGGGAAACATAGTGGGGTGGGGAAGGGAGGGAAGGAGGAATTGTTGCAAAATCAACAGAAAAAATAATCATAACACAATTTTCAAAGATTCTTACACAATAGTTTAATCCTGGTTCCCAGAACTATTGAAGTAACTAGTTCCCTTGTTTTTGGACTCTGTCCTGCCTAAATTAGCCTCGAAATGGACTCCCTTCTAGGTTCCCAGGTGCGGACTTGGCTAGCCAGGCTGCTGAATCTCCAGCCCTTCATTATGAAGTGGGAAGGTGAGGGGCTAGGGCTAGGGCAGTTTCATTCCTCATAGAGTCCCCCACAACACAGTCATTCCTGAGATCCGATGCTGGTATCTGCTGCCTCTCTTCTTCCCCTTCTCAGTGACCAGCAGGAAAAGACTTTTCCCTGTCTGGGTATCAAGGCTATCTCCTTCTCCCAGTTGACTTACAGGGTTTTAATTCACAGCTCTTGTCCTTGGTCTGAGGAAGAGGAGGGCGTCTCCAGAACTCAGAGATCCTACAGAAGCTGCCTTCTGTCTCCCCCTTGAATTCTCTATTGTAACTCCTCCTTGAAGTTAGTTGTACTAGTCAGAATTGTGGGAATTGATTTGGTTCATTATTGTCAAATTTTTTCTTCTACTAAGGCAAGGTACCCAGACCTATGCCCCAGGCCCCTTTGAGCTGACACCTTCAAGTTCTTCCCTTCACTGACAATTTTTTTTTAAGATTCATTAATTTATTTATTTTTAGTTTTCAACATTCACTTCCACAAAATTTTGGGTTCCTAATTTTCTCCCCATCTCGTCCCTCCCCCAACCCTAGACAGCGTGCATTGTGAATACGTTTTCCCCTAATCTGCCCTCCCTTCTATCTCCCCCCTCCCCTTATCCCCTTCCTCTTCTGTTTTCCTGTAGGGCAGGATAGATTTCTATACCCCATTGCCTATATATCTTATTTCCTAGTTGCATGTGAAAACAATTTTTTAACATTTGTTTTTAAAACTTTGGGTTCCAAATTTTCTTCCTTCCTCCCTCCCCACCCACCCTCATTGAGAAGGCAAGCAACTTGATACAGGTTATACTTGTGTAGCCATGCAAAACACTTCCATAGTAGTCATGTTGTGGAAAACTCACTATATTTCCCTTCAAACTAACCCACCTCCTTTTTTCTGTTCTCTCTTTTGACCCTATCTCTCGTCAGAAGTGTTTGCTTCTGATTACCCCCTCCCCCAATCTTCCCTCCCCTCTATTTCTCCCCCCTCTCTTATCCCTTTCTCCCCTATTCTCCTGTGGTGTAAGATAGCTTTCCATACCCAATTGAGTGTGTATGTTATTCCCTCTTTAAGCCAAATCCGATGAGAATAAGATTCACTGATTCCCTCTTACCTTCCCCCACTTCCCCTCCACTATAAAAGCCTTTTCTTGTCTGTTTTATGTGAGATAATTTACCCCATTCTACCTCTCTCTTTCTCCTTCTCCCAGTATAATTCTCTCTCACCCCTTAATTTTATTCTCCAGATATCACCTATTCATCTTCAACTCACCCTGTGCTCTCTATCTATCAATCTATCTACACATTCAATTTTTTTCCCTCCTACTACCCTAATACTGACAAAGGTCTCATGAGTTAAAAATATCATCTTTCCATGTAGGAATGTAAACAGTTCAACCTTAATAAGTCCCTTAAGATTTCTCTTTCCTGTTTACCTCTTCATGCTTCTCTTGAGTCTTGTATTTGAAAGTCAATTTTTCTATTTAAGCTCTGGCTTCTCAAGAATGCATTAAATTCCTTTATCTTATTGAATGACAATTTTTTCCTCTCATAGCCTATACTGAGTTTTGTTGGGTAGGTGATTCTTGGCTGTAATCCTATCTCCTTTGCCCTCCAGAATATCATATTCCAAGCCCTCTGGTGCCTAAATGTAGATCCTGTGTCGTCCTGATTGTGTTTCCACAATACTTGAATTGTTTCTTTCTGGTTGCTTGCAATATTTTCTCCTTGACCTGGGAACTCTGGAATTTGGCTGCAATATTCCTAGGAGTTTTCCTTTAAGGATCTCTTTCAGGAGGTGATAGATGGATTTTTTCCATTTCTATTTTATCCTTGGGTTCTAGAATATCAGAGCAGTTTTCCGTGATATTTTCTTGAAAGATGACGTCTAGGCTCTTTTTTTGATCATGGCTTTCAGATAATCTGATAATTTTTTAGTTATCTCTCCTGGATCTATTTTCCAGGTCAGTTGTTTTCTAATGAGATATTTCACGTTGTCTTCTATTTTTTTTATTCTTTTGGTTTTGTTTTACAATATCTTGATTTCTCATAAAGTCACTACTTTCAATTGCTCCATTATAATTTTTAAGGAAGTATTTTCTTCAGTGAGCTTTGGGACTTCCTTTTCCATTTGGCCAGTTCTTCTTTTTAAGGCATTCTTCTCCTCATTGACTTTTTGGACCTCTTTTGCCATTGGGGTTAGGTTATTTTTTAAGATCTTATTTTCTTCAGTATTTTTTTTGGGGGGGTCTCCTTTAGCAAGCTGTTGACTCATTTTTTTTTCTTTTTCTTTTTCTCTTTTTTTTTGCAAGGCAATTGGGGCCAAGTGACTTGCCCAGGGTCATACAGCTAGTGAGAATCACGTGTCTGAGGCTGGATCCAAACTCAGGTCCTCCTGACTCCAGGGCCAGTATTCTGTCCACTGCACCATCTAGCTGCCCCTGTTGACTCATTTTTCATGAGTTTCTTGCATTTCTCTCCAAATTTCTCTCTTTTCTCTCATTTCTCTTCCCAATTTTTCCTCTACTTCTCTTACTTGCTTCTCAAAATCCTTTGTGAGCTCTTCCATGGCCTGGGACTGACTCATATTTTTCTTGGAGGCTTTGGATGTAGGAGCTTTGACCTTGCTGTCTTCTTCTCGTTGTATGTTTTGATCTTCTTTGACACCAAAGAAAGATTCTATGATCTGAATCTTTTTGTGCAGTTTGCTCATGATCCCAGCCACTTACTTGAGCTATAAACTCTTTATTAAGGCAGAGGTCTGCTTCCAGTGTGGAGAATGTACTGTCCCAAGCTTTGGGGGTTTTGTGCATCTGTTTTCAGAGATACTTCTAGGGACCTGTAAGTTTTCAGTTCTTCCAAGGTGGTATGATCAAGGGCGAGGTATTTACTCCTTTCCTAGCCTGTGTTCTGGTCTATGAGTGACCACAAGCACTCTTTTCTGCCTTGGAACTGTGAGGAGGATTTTCTTTTCACCACCACTACAAGCTCCACCATGCCAGCACTCCTCCTTGCCCTACGATTGCCGTCCAGAACTGT